TTTCTGCGGCCTTTCCTAGGGCTGCTCGCAGGGACATGAGAGGTGCTGGGCATAGCTTGACAGACCAGAGTCACTGCGGCTTTCTATGGTGTTCCGTTTCAGAGTTTCAGACAGCTTCGAGCTTCGTGAGAAGAGTTGCGCAAGCAAAAGGCTGTATGTTTGCCCTGGCAAGGGTCTTCAAGCTAGCGCTCTTTGTGCGAGCTTCGTATGGGGCTGAAATTGCACCGTTTTCTCCGACTTTCTTCTGGGAACGCAGCCCTTTGGGATAGCTCAGTGTGCTGGGCGCGCTTAGCATTGGACCAATGGAGGGAGGGTGCATTCCGTGGCTCGTGAACCGTTATGTTCGATGTCGGCATAGACATAGGGACACCAGTGCTGTGATTTTGCACCGAAAGCTTCCCTAAACCCTAAAGGCTTTCGACACGGTGACACTTCGAAGCGCTCTAAGTGCAGCAGGGCTTCTGGCTTTGAGGGCTCAGTGACTGTTCCCGGGGCGGCGAGTTCCACGTACAGATGCAGTCAAGGGTGGAGGGGGTACCCTGCATCCCAAATGCCTGAAGCTTGCACTCGAAACTCTAAACTAGGTGGCAATTCGGGAAACTTTAAAATTTCCCTTATGGTCTCTATAGAGTTACCCATACTTTTCAGGGCCCCTAAATAAACTACAACCCTGTAAACCTATCCCTACATCCTAATCCTGTTGTCCGCTTGGGGCGCCTAGCTGCTCTGACTTGTCCAGGATGGTTCTGATCCTGAGTCGGGCCCTCATGCAGTGGGGTTTCTGCATGACGCAGGGTGTAGCTTAGGGTTTTAGTTTAGGATGCAACTTGCCCCAACTGGACTGCCATCTGTAACACTGCTAGGACATCCAGAGCGGCAAGACGAGCTCCTAAACCCCAGACCCAAACCCCCTAAGCCCTGAAGCAAGGTGTGTCAATCTACGTGTTCGATTGCTGCCGCTTCATTGACGAATGCGGCCTCACAATGCAGGCCTTAAGCAGAGTCCTTTGGGCAACGATGGGGCATTCCCCCCACTGTTGCATGTCGGAGCCTTTGGGATCCTGAACGTAGAGCCTCAGATCCATGTCCCCTTCGAAGACCCTTTATGTTTTTATGGTTTAGGAGTTTAGGGACCCTGAATCCAAGGAATCCTGCCCAGAGCCTTTCTGCCCCTAACTTAAGAGCCATGAAGCAGGGCCTGGAACCTCCTTACATAACACCTAAACCCTCTCAACCCCTACAGCGGCCCCAAAGACAGCTTCGAAACGCCTTACCACAGCATGAGCAAGCCCCACAAGCAGTCTTACAACGATACTTCACACTACTCTGTCAAAACGATACTTCAAACTCTTCTGCGGCCCGTAGGCACGGTACATCTCCAGCTTCCTCCGCGGGCTCCGCGTCTTCCAATCCGCTTCCGTGATTCCGTTGATCTGGCGGCCTGGCGTGAGCTAAGGCTAGGGCTCAGGGTTAAGGTATTTTGGCATTTACTGTAAAGCTTAACCCTAAACCCTAAACCCTAAACCCTAAACCCTAAAGCCCTACAGAAGCCTTATAAACCCTCAAGGGTTTGGAGTTTAGGGTTTCGCTTTCAAAACGGGTTTTTGAGTCTCGGGTGTCAGGGCCGAGGCTGCAGGGCTAAGGCGCAAGGGGGCATTGCTCGTACCATTGGAAGGGGTTTAGGGTTTTAGGGCTTAGGGTAGGGTTTAGGGTTTAGGGTTTAGGGTGTAGGGTTTAGGGTTTAGGGTTTAGGGTTTAGGGTTTAGGGTTTAGGGTTTAGGGAGTTACGGTTGGGTCTTGTTAGGGGTCGGTCCTACGCCCTGAATTTGTCGGGTGCTGAAGGGTTTCTTGTTTTGAGTCTGGGGACTTTGAAGGCTTCAGGTTTCATCGTTGAAGACTGAAGTTGCTTGCTCCCCGAATTCAACCAACTACAGTGTAGGGCCATCTGGTACGGTAGGGTGGTGTCGTATGGCGTGGTAGGGAAAAGCATGCTACTTTTGGGGCCTCAATAATTACCTATGTCATTTTTGGGGGGTCCTTATTATAACTATATTATGCAAGACCCCAAAGCCCTATTCTAACTATTAGGGCCCCTATATATTATGCTACATGAGTCAAGTTCTCTTCACTTGAGCCCTAAACCCTAAACCCGAAACCCTAAACCCTAAACCCTAAACCCCTTTTGGTACACGTGGAGCACGGCTGGGATCCACCTTGACTGGGAGCCGGCTGTGCACCCTCAGGCCCTACCAACCCTAAACCCTGAACCCTAAACCTAAACCCTAAACCCTACCCCAAACCCACTAAACCCGAAGCCCGACCCCCTAAACTCGGCCCTCAACCTTCCTAACCCTTGACCATGCTACCGAGGCCTCGGTAG